GGGGATTGGTATTCTTTATCTATTTCTCTTTTCTCTAAATTGTACCTTCTTCTTGGGCAAAGTCGCCCTTTTGTATTGACTCTGTCCCACCCTCCAAAGCACACCTTGTTCACAGCTGTGGTTCTCTCACATATAAACTGTTTTCAGGTTAACGCTCGTAGTTTTTCTAACTGTGCCGTGGGAAATAAGTATCTTCACCTCTTAAGTAACCTTGCAGTGTGGAAAGAAATGTTTAACCTGAACAATTTGCCTTTTTTGCACCCATAGATCTACCCCTCCATTCGTCCTCTCTCTCTCCCCTCTCTCTCTCTCTCTCTCTCTAGACCCCTCTCTCTCCCCCAATCTCTCCTTCCCTCCCCTTCTACCCACTCTCCCACCAACACTTCTCAATACTAGCATTGACTAACTAGCATCTTGGTATGAAGTTTTCTTTATAATAGCAATGATGGAGGGGAATTCAAACTTCTCAGGCATTTCTAGTTACCATAAATAAGACCCTCGTTACCTACAGCTTAACAAAAACTCCTCCAATTTTTATAAACCAATACGGTGTCAAAACTTACGCGTGGACATCAATATAAAATATTTTTGTACAGTTATAGTTCCCATTTTCATCGTTGCTGCTCAGTTTTAAGTACAGGTGAGTGACAGGATCAACATGAGGGAACGGGCACATTCTCGAACGACTCACTTTTATTCGTAGGTTACCTCGAACAATCAGCATACCGCGTTCTGGAACGATTCTCGATAGCAATTGTATTTAACAATTTCAATTCTTAGTGTAGATGTGCAAGGCAGAAAATTTTGGACGCTCAGCAGCACTGGATTCATTATCATTATGTGGACAGGACAAGAATCCATAAGAAACACCAATGTTTGTGAAAGTTTTCGCTTCCACTTTCAAAGGTTCTTCGCAAACCCTCTCTCTAATTTTATTTTCACTATCCTGGTAAATGTGGAGGAAGAACAGCTGGGGATAGCATTAGGAATAAGAACTACAGTAACTGAGGTTTGCTGCCAAAGACCATGATTGAAAACTAAAACTAAAAGTAAGAGAAGCGATCGGCTACCCTTGAAGAATTACTATGCAGTCAGAATCTAACAACTTCCGTTCTTCAACACTCATTGGACAAGGTTATTAACAGCTGCGGATAATGGTATCAAATAACCACAGAATCTAACAAGATGTTCGTCTTTCCTAAGATTATATCATTTTCGATCAAAGGAATGAGAACAATGGGTTCGTTGGTCAGTGGAGTAGCTTGGGCTGCAAGGCCGATGAACGATGTAGTAAGCATGAAGAATAGACGGTACTTCCACGTCAGAGAGGTAGTGGCGTTTGTGTTGCACCCATCCAGTGTCGGAGTCTAGGTTTTAGCTTTAGTTTAGTTTTAATAAGAGTTTTACGGCTTTTGCAACACAAATAGGTCTTATAGGTTCTAAATTTAGATGTGGTGTAATTTGTTCTAGAGAGTAACATACAAAGAAGAGATGGAAGAAGGATAATAGCTATAGATGTTTGATAGTATGGAAGAAGCGAACCACATTAGAACCCTCAAAAACCGCCCTCTCGGGTGCCCATTGTGCATTATCGACCCTTAGCTCATGTGTCCTCCCATCTTGCCTTCGTGCATCTCCTTCATAATGGTCTGTTGGCGTTTTATATGACCAAAATGTGTGTGTGTGTGCGTGTGTGTGTGTGTGTGTGTGTGTGTGTGTGTGTGTGTGTGT